CTCACACCCGTGTTGGTCATAGGCCCCACTAATACCGATCAGGGGTATCCAGAGGACTATCACAGTCCGTTGGCACTAAGTGCGTCTCCACGTCGTGTGTTTTGTTTTTGTTTCCTTTCATTTCGTTTCGTCTCTTCTTAGGAGGCAGGTATTTACACATCACAATCAGGAAGTGGGTACTGCATTCTTATTTCACTCATCGTTACCTGCTTCCCTCATGCAAAGACCTGCCAAAATTCCACCGAATGCCTTTTTTTTTTCGTTTGCCCCTGCCTTCGTGTTCAAATAAAACTCCCTGATTCACGCAGGCGGAGCTGCGCTGGTCCGTCTTGTTTAATCCTATTACAGATAATGAAAGCCCTGGAGTTCAGACAACCCAACAATGAAACAGTTTCACCTCAATAGCAAGCAACGTGGAGTACAATAGCTGCATGTAAACCCATTTCTTGAATGTGTTCACATTTGCTTTCTTCGGGGTACCCCTTTCATTTGTTTTTACAGCTCCCCCTTTACCGTGCCTCTCATGCACAAGGCTCGTCATGTTGATTGTGGTTGTGCGCGAGCTGCCCACATCCCCGTGTGCCATAACGGCCCACTTGCACACTATGAAAGGAGGCAGAGCAAAGACGGAGGTATATGCCTGTTCATTTCTTCTCAGATCTTCAACTTGTCTGTTCCTGTAATGATGCTCATTCGTATGTATTACTAGTATTACACAAGAGTAGGGAGGAAGGAAGTGGGAGGTGGGGTTCTGACAGGGTTCAAAATAGTGACCGGTGGGGCAGACCACTCTAGAATGGCACATGAGGCCAGTCAGTGTGTGGGTTGCATAAGATTTGAGGAGGCGTTGTTGCCTATGGTAAGCGGCCACCTCTACAGACCGGGCAGGACCGTTTTGGGTGTGGGCTGTGGAAGCACCGCATCCAATTCTCACAGTCACAGTTACTGCATCGAATGGCACGGCGATGTCACAGGCTACATGGCTCCTACATGCTATGAACACAGAGGCACATCGACCGCAATTGTAGAGGCATTGCCGCTCCAGCCCGTCTACAAATTAGACATGACATGTCAGGGTGCCGTACATGGGTGCAGTATAGACTGTCATCATACATATGACGACAAAAGCTCGCCCGGGCTATCCCTTCACATCCTCACGGCATAAGGCATGCGAACCACATGCTAGCTGAATCTGTGGTGGGTCATCACAAAGCGGCATGGAGCAAATTTCTTGGGTTTCCTCAGTATTTATTCCATCTCTATGGGTCGACGACGGTGAAGATTGATCCAAAGCAAGGGCGTTCAGCTGCTGCAGGATTTGGTCTGCAAGAGTTCGCCCTGGTGGAGACAACCTATTAGTACAGCGCTCTGTAGGTGCATATGGTAATCTGTTTTCCTTCTCAGGCTGCTGTGCCTGCCGTTCATCAGGCAAGGAATAAGGAATTCCAACTGCGGTTGCTGTAGGTGTATGGCCAACACCGCATGTGGTACATGCTAGGAGAGGATGTGGCGGATGAAGGCACCGGGGTTAGTCCACACAGTAGAGACACATACTTTCTATGACAGCTTCCTGGAAACATCGACGGCACATGGCATGTTGATGGCAAAAAAAAAA